CTAGATAAGCATTTCGTTTTTTTACTTACAAAGTCCGCCATGTTAATAGCAAATGCTCCATGGCGTGACGCAACGGACTCTTAAAGGGAATGGGAGATGAGACTCATTTGTTTAATGCATGTTATACTCAAAAAACACCCATCACCCATTAAGAGAATGAGCACAACCCTGTTAGATCATGTGCCAGTGCGCAGACTGTATTTTTCCGTCCTTAAAATAGCAAAAGTAGATCCGCACTTAATGCTTTTGCACCGTGCCCTTTAGACTGCGCCTAGATCATTAAAATAGAGCCCATTATGTTGTTTTGGTAATATCAAGTGGTCATGACAATGATAAAGACCGATTGTGATGTATTTGTTTATGTCAGTTTGTTGGGGTATGGGTTAGCAGTTATAAATATGTCATAATACAATTATGTCATGGTTCTAAAGGTTTCATAAACACCTACAAGTCTTATGGACACCTCTTTAAATAAAGTGTTACCAAAGAGAGTTAGAATTTTCTGAATTATAAAAAAAAAGAGATGATTTGATAAAGATCGCATTGGTTACTCCACATATACAATCACATCTGTTGAGATAAAATCTTATGACTGTTTTTTACAGTATGTGCAATAATGCAATTTTAATGCATTGTTTTTTATACAACAAATACATTTGCATAGAAATAGCTAGTGATTCAGTAATCCATTCATTAAGACACACAATTGCTTAGTTTTTTAAATGAATCAGCCTCCTAATAAATTATTCTAAAGAACTATTTAGTCAATTAATTATTAAGACAGGGACTTATCTACAACAACAACAAAAAAAGTGGAGATACAAAACTTCTTAATTGCCACTGACCAATGAGAGGTTGTTCATTCAAGAAAGCTTCCAGAAAGTTTTCAAGCTGTTTCAAACTCCCCAAATAAAACTTTAATTTGGCCTGATTTTGTTCAAAATGCCATCACATGAGTTTGTTCTTTGATTTTGCTTGAACTATACTGGGGCAATAACAGTTAAATAAGTTCAGCTCTGGCAGCACAAAGGTTGCTGGTTCATTTCCAAGCAGCTGCGACCCAGAAACCCGGAGAGTTATTGAGATCACTATCATGCTCCATCCCCACAGTTACCAGTAATGCACTTGACCTGAGGTCGCCCCTAAGGGCCTGTTTCTTGAAATTACAACACTTTAAAGTCACTTGTAAGATCGAGATGAACAAATGCTATAGACCTATGCACTATAGATATCAGTGCTTCACAGACTTGCAGTGGTGTGAATTGAAAAAGCTAAACACGCATTTGTCTTTTTTCGCACTAAAGGTGAGCTTTATTAATGACTCGCACCATCTGCAGGTTGCGAGATCAGGGACCGGCCCCTGCGAAGTGTTGAGAGCTGACTTTAGATGTGATTCCCTGCTGGACTCATTGTAAACCTCCCACTCAGCTTGCTAATGGCCTGTTGTGTCACAATGGCGCATGCACACTGTGACCAGAACACATGCAATCCCAGATTATGGACGACAGAAATAGCCATTCAGACCACGTGAACGCTTTTTAAACACAGGATTACTATACATTACAGCACACTTGTATGTTCGCTACATGAGACAATCTGACCATATTGTGTGCGTGCTGTTCGTATATAGCAAAGCGAAGTTAAATAACTTGGGTTTTATTTTCAAATCTGGCCACTGAATACACAAATATTTCAGCTTGAATGATTAAATCGCATAATTCACATGTAGTTAGTGTGTTTAAGTATTCAGTTACTTTTTAACACAAATATTTGGTTTGTAAATTTGTGAAATGACTGACTTGTGTGGATAACACTTGCGGCATATTAAATGTGCATATCCTGTTTATAAAACATTGAACAGAGGTATTTCTGCAACAGTGCTTTTTATTTATTGCTCTTGTTCACAGCGCCGCAACACTGTGTCCTAATTTCATCTTGTCATGCCTGAATGCACAGAAATCAATATTACTCAATAATCACTGCTGCTTGTCACTCATTTGCAAGTCTAAACAGATAAAAATATTAAAATAATGTAAATATACACTGTGGATCTGAAGTTTAAGGTCTGTAGTGCTCTTTAAAGTAGTTTTTTTTGTGTACTTAGTAAGGTTGCATTAATTTGAGGTGTTATTTCAGTTTACATTTTTTTGAATGTAGTGACTGTTTTCATTGTAAAAATAATTTAAAATGTAATTCAGTGTTACTACAACAAAGCAGAGTTTTAGTTTAGTATTGTTTGAATAAAGTTTAGAAGAACAGCATTTATGAATTTAAATCTTTTTAACATTATAAATGTATTTACTGTCACTTTTTAATACTGTTTTATTCATACGTTGTTTACCACAATACAAAAAGGACAACATAAACATTTTACAATAAGCAAAAACACTGAAGAGTATTTTGAGCAATAAAATAAAATAAATAAAATAATAAAAAACAAATAAAAAGAAACAATAGTGCAATTTTACCTACAGAAAAAAACAAGTCTGCCATGTGCTGACCAGAACTAGTATCCAGTACTGAGTTGGGGAGTGGGGACTCAATCAGAAGGAGCAGTGTCAAGCTGAAGATTTTGGACAATGTTTGCCAAGGGGCTACCACAATTTAATGAAAATAGTGCTAGGTGTGTGAAGAGAGTACCTAATTTTCTCTAACTTCATAAAATGAACATTTCTTATCCAACAAGTGTGAGAAGTAGGGTAAGGGCTCTTCAGGTTCAGAAGAACTAATCGCCTAGCCAGATGGGTTAAGAAGGCTACAAAGTGAGAGGGTAAAGTGTGGCCGGGTGGAAGCACCCTAAATAAAACAATAATTGGGCAGGGTGGAATATCAACAGTGGTTATAGCAGACAATTAGAGGAAATATATACTGTCACTTTTGCTCAATTTAAACAACAGAAGTACATGTAAAAAGGGTTTTTAATCTTTAATCCAATCAGACATACAATTAACAAAACTGTACACTCATAGTTTTAAATCCCATCTCAGCACTCTGCGTCTCAAATATTTAAACTATAATAAAATATAATTATTTAATCTTTAAATGTACACTATAAAGTGTGGAGAAGTTTTCTTAAAGTTATTTCTGACTAGTCCCATATAGAAATATTCATACATGTACATTGAAATGTATGCAAATCATATATGACATACAAGATATGGATTTCATTTGTATAAAGTATATGTCCAATATGCAACTTATATGAACACTGAACATTCAAATAGTTAAAAAAATACACATGAAAGCAATTTTTGCAATAGTTTGAAATATGTTTGACATAAAAAATGTATATGAGTATATGTTCATAAATTGCCATATATCAGATTTCTATGTGGGATGGCAGTAAACACTTTTTAAAAACCTATAAATTATGCATTAATAAATTATAAATTATAAAATAATAAAATATAAATTATACCCGCACATGTTTACATGACATGTACTGCTTTTTAAAAATGTTTTGTTTACTGACAGCAACTTGGTCAAAATGTTTCCCATTCACATGGATCCTAACAAACCCTCAAAACATCAGCACTATTGTAGTCTTTAATTTTGGTTGCCAAGTATTCAAGCACAAGCATGTCTGTATAGTTTAGTACAGTGTGTGATGACAGAGCTGCTGATCCAAATGCAGTTTGTTATAAATAAGGCTTGTCAAAACAGGCAAGGTCAACAAACAGGCCAACGGTCAGGGCAGGCTGCCCAAGTGACTGTCCAAGATCAAAACAGGCAGGGGAACAACAATAAAAACAAGAAAACAGTTGAAATTACACTTGAGGTCAGAATTATTTGCTCCCCTTTGAATTTTTTTTTCTATTTTAAAATATTTCTCAAATAGTGTTTAACAGAGCAAGAGAATTTTCACAGTATGTCTAATAATATTTGGTCACATAGAGGAAGTCTTATTTGTTTTATTTAGCCTAGATTAAAAGCAGTTTTTAATTGTCTATTATGTTTAGAAATGTGTTGAAATTTTTTTTTCTCACCGTTAAACAGAAATTGGGGAAAAAAATAAATAGGTGGGCTAATACTTCAGGGGGTTTAATAATTCTGACTTCAACTGTATTAGCCAAGCAAAGAGAACACTTTGCAAAGGATGTGTGCAGAGGGTGTGTGGCTTAAATAGTCTGGATAATGTGAGACAGGCGTGGGTGTGTAATTAGCGCACAGAGTTCTGGGAAATTAAGTCCAGGTGAAAAACAATAGAACGGTGTATAATGCCCTCCAGTGAAGCTTTAAGACATGCCCTCCACTTGCAGATTGTTACATACAGTTGAAGTCAGAATTATTAGCCCTCCTGTATATTTTTCTCACAAAAACGGAGAGCATATTGTTTTCAACATATTTCTAAACATAATACTTTTAATAACTAATTTCTAATAACTAATTTCTTTTATCTTTGCCAATATGACAGTAAATAATATTTTACTAGATATTTTTCAAGCTTAAAGTGCAATTTAAAGGCTTAAATAGGTTAATTCAGTTAACTAGGCTAGTTAATTAGGTTAATTAGGCAAGTCATTGTATCGAATTGAAAAAAATATTGCTTATGGGGACCAATAATTTTGGCAATTATTTAAAATGTTTTTTTTGTTTTTTTTTTGTTTATGAAAAACTGCTTTTATTCTAACTGAACTAAAACAAATAAGACTTTCTCCAGAAGAAAAAATATTATAGGAAATACGGTTAAACATCATTTGGGAAATATTTGAAAAAGAAACACATTTACAGAAGGCCTAATAATTTTGACTTCAGCTGTATATTGAACATGTAGTGTGAATGTGCATGTTGTTCTTGTATTCACAAATTTGCATTTTTGAGTACAGGAGGAGTTGGCAACATTTCACAAACCTCTTTTTGAATGCTAATTTTATGTAAATAAAAAGACACAATGCATTAGAATTATTTCTTTTGTATTTGAAACCTGTGTCGTGTAATATAGTAAGAACACTTGTCAGACATTATACAAAAAAGTAACAATTGTTTTCTCTGTCTTGCAGGCTCTAGGAGGCTGAAATGGCCACTCCTCGAGGGTGTTTGGGTCCCTCTCTTCAGCTCCTCTTCTTCTTTCATCTGTTACTCAATGTAGTGCCTCGCTGCCGGGGACGTCCATTCTTTGGCCCACCTTCGGTCAACGTGGCTGTGGTTTTCAGCGGCTCGGCTCATCACAGTGAGATCAAGGGCCGTCTGAGTCCAGAAAACTTCCTTGACATGCCGCTAGAAGTGAACCCCATCACCGTGCTGGTGAACGACACAAACCCCCGAGCTTTACTCACACGTCTCTGTCAGACTATGGCGGCGGAGAGCCTTCACGGCGTGGTGTTTGAAGACGACGTGGACTCTGAGGCCGTGGCTCAAATCTTAGACTTTGTTTCCTCTCAGACGTCCATCCCCATCGTAGGCATCAGTGGAGGTTCAGCGGTGGTCATCCCACATAAAGTAAGTGTTTGAAAGGATGTCAGTGGGAGATCTTAGAGATCAGTCAGTTGAAAGGAAGAAAGTTTTAGAAAAAGACCATTTATTAATTCTTTTTTTATTATTTCAAAATGCACACAGAATGAAACATGAGCAATACAAATCTTTGTGTAAATCATTCATAAAGCTTTTGTAAACATACAATGTATGCAGGGCTGTTTAGCCTGGACAGATTACTGTGCATACTCTTAGATACATGATGATAATTATTTTTAAAATGCCATTTTTTAAAGAAAATTTTTGTTGAATAAAAAGCATATATATACACCAATATTTTATCATTTTTTTATTATTATTATTTAAAATTTGTAGCTAAAAATAGGTATTTATTTATTTATTTATTTTTTGGTGTTGCCAGAGAAAAAAATGGTAAACCCTTAATGTTGAGCCCTGAAAAGTTATGTGAAATAAGAACTAATTGCAATGCAACACCATACAAGTACAACATATTTGCTCATGCTCATTGAGCAAGGAAATACACAACATACAGAAAAGTAAAATGAATGATGGACACAAACACAAAATCTAAATCAAGTAATTTTAGCATGCCAAAGTCAAATTTATGCATATAAAATATATTTTCCCAACAACAAAATTGTGGCTAGTGAAAATGGAGAGTGGCTAATAATGTTGAAAGACTACTAACCACAGTGGCTGGTGATAAAAAAAAAAAAATAATGTCAAGTCCTGAATGTATTTAAAAAAATAAATTGTAAATAAAGAAATACAAATTGACAAACAGTAAAAAACAAAATAAAACATACAGACAAACAATTAAACACATATACCAATTTTTCTTAAATGAAATAATAAAGATATTAATAAATAAAAAATTGATTAATATATTCATCTGTTTATTTTTCTGTTTCTTATTACATTGTTTTCAATACAACCAAATATTTTGTAAATGTGAGTAGCAGCTAAAAGTTTTGTGTGAAAAAAAAAAAACAAATTTATGTGTGTTAGTTAAATTTATATTTGTTAGTTGTTTAAATTAATTTAGTTTTATTTCATTCATTTTATTTTCGGCTTAGTCCCTTTATTAATCCGGGTTCGCCACAGCAGAATAAACCGCCAAATATCCAGCACGGGCATCCAGGATGCCCAGCCAGCTGCAACCCATCTCTGGGAAACATCCACACACACTCATTCACACACACACACACACTCATACACTACGGACAATTTAGCCTACCGAATTCCCCTTTACCGCATTTCTTTGGACTGTGGGGGAAACCGGAGCACCCGGAGGAAACCCATGCGAAAGCAGGGAGAACATGCAAACTCCGCATAGAAACACCAACTGACCCAGCCGAGGCTCGAACCAGCGACCCAGCAACCTTCTTGCTGTGAGGCGACAGCACTACCTACTGCGCCACTGCGTCGCCAAAATTTTAATTATTATATCAATCTTTATGAATATGTATTAATATTAAATATATAGATTTTAGTTTATGTAATGTTTATTTGTATTTTAGTTTTTATTTTAAATTTATAGTGAGGAAAATTCCTTTAAAATATTGAAAGGTTTTTTGTATTTTTATCAGTTACATTATTTGAATTAGCCAAAATATGAGTGATTAAACTAAAATAATACACAAAACAAAATCATAAAAACATGTTACATAATTTCACATGCTGAATTTAATGACAACAATCACACAGAAAATAATGTATATAATATAAGTATATAAATCTTACAGTATAAACCTAAATTTCTTTATCTTCAAAATAAAGCAAGTTTCAATATGTATGTCAGCATACAGTGCATCTTAGCCTTCATGGTTGTGAGCCTGTTTATCTGAATGAAAAGTACAGATACAACTCAGACAAAGCAGATATCCATCACAGCATGAAAGAAACCCATCATATGTGCATTTCAAATATCAAATCAAGACTTAATCAGGGGTATCTGTAAAGTAATTTCAAAGACGCTGTTCTCGCAGTTCTTATTAGACACAGTGAGTCTAAAATAACTGCTGAGAGGTTGACAAAATGTTAGCATGTGCATGTGGTTTGTGTGTTTTCCTAGCAAGCTCCCTGCAATGATACGCTATTGAACAGTTGCGTGGAAAAAGGATTTTGTGAGGTGTGGAAATCAATAGGTTTTATGATGTATAACCACCGCCCAACAGTTGTGCCCCATTTTCCACTGATTACTGAGATTTAAAAACTTCTGAAAAACGTCAAGAAATTGCACAAAATTACAGCAGTTAAATGTAAATATTTTGTAGAGCTGGTGCATTGAAGATGTTTTGTGTGCATTTATTGAACGTCTGGTGGTCGTCCTTAGTAAAAATAACGATCCTATATGCTATTGGAAAAGCTGGACCCACTTGATTTTAAGTGGCCTTAACTACTGTGTACTTACATCAGAAAATAAGTATAATACACTTATTGTGTTCATATTGCATTGTAAAACACTTGTTGGTGCTACTGGTTTGAGATACAGGTCTGGTGGTATGGATAGTTTTAAGGGTTTAACAGTGTCATTATAACTGTAAATATACAGAAATAAATTGCAGATGTAATTACAGGCAGGTACATTTTAAGAATAACAAATACAAATAAAGAACAATGTAAAAACATGACACTATTAATGCATTCTACCAAATGGTTAAAGGTTATAAGGTGTTTAAAAACAGTTGTGTGGCAACAATGTGTGAATATAGTCCACTTCTAATTGTAAAAATTAATTACATTTTTTTTTTTTTAAACACACTTCATAAAACAGTCTGCAAAAGAACAGTCTGTTTCACTGACATTCTCCCTTTGTACATGTTATTAAAGGGGGACTTTCCTGCATATTAATGATGATCTCTCCCTTATTAGCATAGACAACCCTGAGTGAAAAGCAGCTGCCTGCCTTTAAGGTTTTTCGAGTCGTAAGCTTGAGCTGAAGATAATGTGAGTGTTCTGACTTTTAATGGAAATATGTCTAGGGAGTTAAAAAGGAGTAAAATTGAGATGACCAAAAGAATAAACTAAGGTTAAAGGGGCAAGAGAAACACAGAAGAACAAATTAGCACAGCAAAAGATTTATTGCTTCAACAAACCATATATCTACGATATATAGAAACAATATTATAGTAATAAATTTGAATAAAACCAAAACAAATGGAAGAGCGAACTGAAAGTTTAAAATATAACAAAAAAATATCCCCTTAATCTCTCTACCTAATCCTCTAAATAAGAAAATAACAATATTAAAAGAAAAAAGTCTTCAGCGCAAATGTGCCCTGAACTTACTCTAACTTAAAAACCAAAAATACCAATTATCACACTCGCTAACTAGTGTGTCTATACATCAATAATCTGGCATGCATGGTACAGTATGTATGTCACATGACAAACTATACTGTTCCAGGACTCCCTTGTCTGCAAGTTTAGGATGGAGCTTTAGCGGGCTAAAATGTCTAAGACACATGACATCTGTCATAAACTCAGATATAACATACGACTGAACTATAACAACAGATCGCTCTAACAGGTCTACTCAAAGTCTGCAATAGTACCAAGCTAAAAACATACGAACACCACAAAACAGACAACAACAGCCAAACGTCAAACAACAGCAGCTGATCTCTTTCCGTTACCGCTTCAGATTTAAAGGTCTCTGCACTGATCGTGATTGGCAGAGAGAATACGAGTCGTCACAGGGTTGAATATGATTGGCAGTCCTGTTAGCCAATAGTGTTCCGAATATAGACGGTACCTAAATGTGAAAATGACTGGTCAGGGAGAAAAAGAGAGACAGAAAGGACATACTAGCATAAAATACAGTGTACGTTTCGTAACAGTCAGCAACTATGAGGCATTATCTATGTCAAGTTTTAGGATGCACAAATGAACACCCTCTCCATAGACTACCTTCTGATGCAGTTCTTTTGACAATTTTAGTTTTTTCCAGATAAGATTAGTCCTGTTTTGAATCTGCCTTTTTAGCCCCGTTCTCTTTTGAAAAGTGGGCTAGATGCACAATCTCATTTGAATTTTAAAATGAATTTGTCTCCAAAATGGCATCATTTGGATCAAAGCCTAAAATAATTTTATAAAACATTTTTTGTGGTGCATTTTGAGCTGAAACTTCACATACACGCTGTAGGGACATCAGATACTTACATTTTGTTAAAGAGTCATAATATGTCCCCTTTCATTTAAATAAGTAAGCACATAAGATTACCCAATTTAAAGTGGGAAAGAAATTATAAAGAAAACAGTTTGAACAGTCATAAAAATGTCTTGGTTTTTACTTTTGAGAAACCTTCATAATCCCATCTGTGCAGAAGAAAACAGTCATAGCTTTGTAACAACATATGGGTGAGTGAATAATTTGGCTGAACTGGTTGTATTGAACAAGAATTACTGAGACGCATGCAGTTGTGTGAATTTTTTACACAATGAGTGGATTTTGCAGCATCTGATATATCTGAAATCCAAAAAATGCTTTTAATACAGTAAAATAGTCATTAAACGTGGAGACTGTCAAAAGATGTATATCTTTAAATGAGAAACACAATAGTCCTTGATTTAATGGGGCAGATGAGTATCTTCAATACCAGCTAGTGAGTGGAAGACTTCTTCCTACCCAGCTGTCATTTTTAAATGCCTTTCAGATGTGCACAGTGTGCGGAAAAAAAGCTCGATAAGATGTGTAAAGTGGAACAGAAAGCCAAAAATATGCAGTTGTTAGATAATTGTGTAAGAACTTGGATTAAACTGAAGCGTTTCAGCAGGGAATCATTTTTCCGGAGTTTTTTTTTTATTTAAACCAAGCAGCGTGAAATATATAGATGCAGAATAATTTGAACAGTCCAGTGACCATGGACTTATTTATATTAAAGAGCACTGAAGGAAAACCTAAAGAGAATCTCATCATATTTATCATTTATGCTATAATGTTTTAAGTGAGTTAAAGTTTATCTATATATAGTTTTTTATTATTTAATAATATTTTCTGGAGA